CCCCCAGAGTTTCTTATTTGGTTAATCTGGAGCCGGGTCCCATAATTTGGTGTTTCACAGGTTCCCAGGTGACGCTGGTGCTGCTGCTCCAAGGATTATATTTGTAATTAAAGCCCTGAGAAGTGAGGGAACTTCTCAGGCAAATACAGCTGCCAAGTGTACAAGGCTCAGGCTCAGGCCAGCTCTCCTCTATTGAAATTCATTGTCTTCTCCGCTCTGCTGCACGGTTTCTCTTGCATGAGAAAGTAGGGAAGATGAGTGTTCTTGTGGGGACTGGCCACCTTATGGTAGTTGTCAAGTGTGTGCTTAATAGGTTTTCCCTTAGGATTTCCAGTGTCTCTGAAGCAGGCAGGGACATTGCATACAGATGAAACTGAACCTGGAGTCTGACATAACCTGGCCAGGGTCAGTAGCCTTACTGTGGCCCCTGGCGGTGCTCTGCTCAAGTGAGACTGACTTGCTTGACGTCTGGGTGGGCCCATGGCTTTACTTCTCCAGCATGACCATAGATTTTAACATCAAGATGCCAGGTCATGTAGCAGCTGGCTCTGTGTGCAAACACGGAATGTTTTCCTGGTGCTTTGGATCTGGTGTGTTAAATAGAATAGCTTTCAGCATTAAGGAGGTGTTTGTCTTTTGCAGACCACTGGAGATGATCAGCCCTCCTGAAGAGAGCGACAGCCGGTGTGTTCTTTACACTGGGGACAGCCGACGAGGGTCTTGACTCTGAACCTTTAGACTCAGTATCTCTTGCAAAGAGAGGTGTTGGGTTTGTTTTTCCATTTTAAAATTTACTTAAAAAGGAAAAGTAGTTTTCACATTAAGTTTTTATTTTCTTTCTAGCATTTGGGGCTAAAAGGCATGGTGTGGGTAGAAACGTCAAAATTTGGGTCAGAGTGCACAGTGTGTATGCACGCAGTTGTGTGCACGCTGTCGTGTGCAGATGGGATGGAGACCTTTGCATTTTGACCCACAGAACATAGAAGGGTGTTGTGAGTCTATCTCACAGCTCTTAATGTGTTTACATAGTATTTCTGTAGATTATTTTCAGAAGAAAGTTGTGCTTCCATGGTAAGAGCATTTTGGCTTATGTGTAAGTTAGAAATAATTGTTAATTTTACACTTAATATCTACTTCATGATGGAACTTCTTCTCCTAGGCGTTCACAGACACCTAAAAACCAAACATGGGCTAGATTTTGTTAATTTATAACAAGTCATACTTAAGGCCCAGTTAATATAAATAGAGTTTTCGTAGCTTATGTTTAAGGGGTACCTCGGGGTTGCTGCTATTCTATTTATTTTTAGGGGGGACAGCCAGACTGCTCTGGAGCTTCCCAGGAGCTCTTCACTGGTCCTTGGCCTGATGAAATCCGT